GAGAAAGACAGACAGACAGAGACAGAGACAGAGACAGAGACACACAGAGAGAAAGACACAGAGAGATATCAGAAAGAGGGAGAGGAGGGAGAGGAGAGGTCTCCTATTCCCATCCCTCAAGCCACAGCTGGCAGACGCATCCACAAACAATGGCGCACGGACACACAAACAAACAAACCAACAAACAAACAGATGGACAGACAGCCGAGGAATGCAGACGTGGGTAAACACAGCTGGGTACACATGGAGGGGGGAGACAGGGGAGTTGTGTGTGTGGGTGTGTGTGTGAGTGAGTGTGTGTGTGTGTGTGTGTATGTGTGTGTGTGTGTGTGTGTGTGTGTGTGTGTGTGTGTGCGTGTTCGCATACTACGTACTGAAACACCAAATCAATGTGCCAGGGCTCTGGACAATAAAGATTTCTCACATCATCATAATATCGTCACGTCATCATGTCCAGCACTCACTGTCAGAACCGAGGGCACTCACTCTCAAGATCCTCACAGGACAATCGACTGTTACGTGCCGACCTGCCAGTAGTTCTATGGCGAGTACTGTATAGCCCGCGGTTAGTTGACAACTACCGTCATGATAAGAGATGTATGATTGTCGGATAGGAGGATTTTAGCATGTCACATGTCGGTCTGCGAACCTGCGGCATTCGCGTAGCTTGCTCGTGACAGAATCGTTTTCTTTCGGTACATTATACTAACGATGGTACCAGAGTGAAGGAGTAGATATAGTTTTCTGACGACTGCAGTGTTCAGTATAATTTTCTTTTCTCGTCTGAATCTGGTTTTTTTGTTCTTGAAGGCTGTATTGTTCAATGTGAAAGAACATTGTTGATATTCGAGATTTCTTCGTTATCGGATTATTCACTTTATAGAAGAAGACAACTTGATTCTGGTTAGTGACTATTTTTTCTTTTGTAATAATTTCACTACTATTCAAAAAAAAAAAAAAGAAAAAAGATGTAGAACAGGTTGTTAATGTTGTTGTGACTAAAAGTAATTTAAAAAATCAACTAGTTATTTCTAAAATATGTACACAAAGCAGAATATATGGCATTGTTACTTAAAAAACAACAACAATTGTTATAAATCATAAAATAAGATGAGACAAGATAGATAAGATAAGATAGATAAGATAAGATAAGATAAGATAATGCTTTTTTGTGCTTGCAAGAACTGTTTTGTGTTGCTCTATAGGTATGGTAAAAAAATATACCAATATACATAATGTTTAAATTGTGCATTGCAACTTGCATAAAACGGTTTCAATATTAGTAAAAAATGAAAGCTGACTGTATACAAAAACACATAAATACACAAACAGGCAAACACACGCACACACACACACACACACACACACACACACACACACACACACACACACACACACACACACACACACACACACCACACGCAGTCACACGCTCACGTTCACATACATAAACATACATAGACGCGTACACCCTCCCTTCACACACACACACACACACACACACACACACACACACACACACACACACACACACACATATGCACTCACACACATATATACACATACATACACGTACACACACACATACACACCCACATACACACATTTCAAGGCTTGCCCTGATCGGGGGAAATCTGACATTTGAACTCAACCCACCCTCATTGTAAGCCCCACCCACATTTTGATCCAGCCGCTTCTACTACATACTATTGTAACGGTTTCATTCGTTGACTAGCTAGTCTCCCCCAACATCTGATGAGCAAGGCAGGCTCAGGCCAGGTGGAGAACGGGTCAGTTTGTTGTTGTCGTTTTCTTTATGGTTTTCAATGTGTTAACTTGAAGAAGCACGTATTGGCAAGCTGTTTAAATGTTTAATGATCTAATCCCAGAAAAAATTAGCTATTTTTAAGAGAGGAAAAAACAACAACAACAACACTGTTTCTTCCTTTTAACAGTTGTATTTACTTTACGTATTTCTTTCTTGTGTGTTGTTGTTTTTGTTGTTGTTGTTTATGATGTTGTTGCTGTTGTTGTTTTTGTTGCTGCTGCTGCTGTTTGTTTTTGTTTTTGTTTCTTTTTCAACGATTGGAATATGAATTTCGGCAAATTATATCTCAATTTCTTGAGCACTGCCACCAGTGCCACAGAATAAGAACCTTCAGTAAAAACGGTTTCCTTTTTTTTCAATTTTGGGTTTTGTACATCTGCCCAGCTGGCTGACCGTTTAAAGAGTGTGTGTGCGAACGTCCTCCCTAGCGGTCCAACTTCCTAGATGGGACATTGCTCCCAATGATCGCCTGACTAATCAACTCAGCCCGCATCAACAACAACCTCCCTGCATACCAATCTCCATTCAGGGAGAGAAGAAGCAGTTGACAATGAGCGTCCTTTGAGGTTAATTGCCTTAAGGAGAACCATTCACGGATAACTGAGTCGGATCCCCGATTCTGAATAAATCTAAATGCGGCGAGATCGAGACGCTGCCCACTCCATGGACCCGCACTGTTTTTTCTCCGGCAAAATCAAGACCGAGCCCAAATCTACTTCTGATGGGGAGCGCAGTTGGCCACGGATGCTCGGCGCGCTTCTCGTCAGACGTCAAGATTTTGTTAGGTTGTACGTGAATGACCTACAATAAGCCCCAATCCAAGTTACCTAAACGTCTCCCAGAGCCAGCTCGACACTACTTCGTTTGGCTTAACTGTTCGCTTGTTTTGGCGTCTGTAGAGCACTATACCCTTCCCTCATCATATTTTTTACAACCATGATTCTTCTATTCTTTTGTCTGAGTAAACATACAGGATGAGATTATGGGAATTAAGATGTGAAGGAAGGGAAGCTGTGCTTAGGCAATCTGCTTCCTCTGTGTCTACTGCTCAAGCAATGCTGCATCATGCACACGGCTTTAAGATCGTCTGCCATGAGAGAAAAGGCCTCGGAACGTGAATGTAAAACATGCCTATCTTTATTAAAGACGGTATACTATCTTTTTGTACGTCTTTTCCTTTTTATTGTTATTTTTACACCGCCCCCACCCCCATTCACACTTATTTCTGACTCCAGCGACAGTGTCCGAGTGATTTTATTTTTGAGAGAGTGCATAGTCAAATGTTGATCATTGACCACATGAAGAGTGCAAGGGAAAAACATAAGATGTCACTTTTTGTCACGTTTAGAAATAGGACAATAACTATAATAATACTTGACCGCCAACTCTTTTTCTAGAGCACAGTTTATGTTCCGAGCCTGACATTAGGTGATGTATCAGGTTTCAGCATAGGAAACATAGATGGGTCAGAAAAGTGTATAAACACTCTCCAATCCACACAACCACTCATATTAGCCATGTGAAACGTCATGTTTTCCCTTGAACTTTTCACATCTTTAACGAACCTTTTCTTTCACTTTACATTTATTTTATTAGTCTTCTGTTAGTTCTGTTGGTATCATGCTGGACTACTGAGCCTGGGTTCGAATCCAGACTTGACGTTCTTGACCTGACGTTATTTTGTGGGGTTTTCAAGGCGCTCAACCCGTTGGCTCAGTCCTGTTGGAGACTGAAGTTAAATTCAGAGTTCCCACCTATCAATTAATCTAATAGTGTTGATATAAGCGTAGAACCCATACCCTTCTATATAACACTAATGTGCCTTTGTCTTTCTATTTCTTTCAACAGACTCCTACAGTGGTGGACGAAATGTCGACTCGAGGCACCTCGCTGGAGGGACACAGGTTTCCCGGCCCCGGAGCTTAGTGTCAGGATCTGCTGACTTTGACAACAACGCAACACGAGAGTAATCCGTCACCCTGTCACACAGAGTCATAGGTCGCTGGGTCACCCAAAGGATTGACCCACACGACTAGATTTGAGATAGCCCCCGTCTTTGTTTCCAACAGCAGCGGGGGATGTGCTGGCATAACATTTCGGTACAGAGGATGGGAAGAAACGCTTCGCTATTGGAAGCCAATATGTACGCCATGTTTCCCGGGTACAACATCACGACGGGTTGGCCTCCCAGAGATAACAATTCCAACAATTCCGGGTACTTCGATCAAGTAACCGTCAATGGCAGTGACCGGCCTGAACTGTTGCGACAGTATAACTACCATGAACCTAAATATGAAGAGCCTGTGATGATTGTCATATGTATCTTTCTAGGATGCATGATCTTAGCCATCATTCTCGGTAATATCTTTGTAATAACTGCCATCCTGGTGGAGAAATCTCTCCAGGGTGTGTCCAACTACCTCATCCTGTCTCTGGCAGTGACTGATCTCCTTGTGGCTGTGCTTGTCATGCCTCTGAGTCTCATCTACGAGATCAGCATCCATTGGTTTCTAGGCAACGCCGTCTGCGATATGTGGGTGTCTATGGATGTTCTCTGCTGTACAGCTTCCATATTACATCTCGTGGCTATAGCGTTTGATCGATACTGGGCAGTCTCAAACATCGACTACGTTCGGAGTCGGAATGCAAGGCAGATTCTTCTGATGGTGGCCATCGTGTGGACCGTGTCAGTGTTTATATCGATACCGCCTTTGTTCGGTTGGAGACATGATTCCGACGACCCCGAGCTGACAGGACAATGTCTGATCTCGCAGGATCACGGGTACACCGTGTTCTCGACGGTAGGCGCGTTCTACTGCCCACTGCTGCTGATGCTTGTGATCAACTTTAAGATATATCGCGCAGCGCGGTACAGAATACGAAAGAAACGCTTCGGTGGACGGGGAGGGAAACATCAAGCGTTACACGTTCCGTTACCGGCTGTAACGGTCGAGACGTCACATCGGACAAATACTCGCAACTCCTCCGGAAGTGACGTAAGCCAGGACGGCATCAGCATGTATATGCCTTCCTGCACGAACGCTAATGACGTCACACGGGTGGACATGGAGAGCCCGCTAGATGTCCAGGAGAATGGTCAAGCGCTGCTCCAGCAGGATCCAAACCTGACTCGCATGTTGTCCAACACACTGACCGTCCCAGCATGCACTGTTAGCGTCCCCCTACCCCGTCCAGGAACCTCGTCCGCTTCCAACAACAACGTCACCAAAAGACTGAGACGCACAGACAAAGAGCGCTTCCGGCGAGAGAAAATGGAGATGAGGCGAGAAAGGAAAGCGGCGCGAGTGTTAGGAATTATTACCGGAGCGTTTGTGGTGTGTTGGCTGCCCTTCTTCGTGGTGGCAGTCGTGAAACCGATGTGCGGCACACCGTGTGACATGCCTAGCTACGTGTACAGTCTCTTCTTGTGGCTCGGCTACGTTAATAGCCTCATCAATCCCATCATTTACACCATCTTCAACCCAAGCTTCCGATGTGCGTTCAATAAGATTTTCTTACGTCGGATCAAGTCAGTGAACCGAATTACCTAGTGACATGGTCAATGTTGTCAGTGTATTCGCCATGCAAATATTAATTTCATGTCATCTTCAATCCTAGTATTGCTACCATGTACTTCCCATGACCAACAGGCATTTTGTAGTCTAACAAAATGCAAGGCATATTTTGTTTACAAAAAAAAAAAAAAAAAGACGAGTAAACAGGGGGTTTATAATTATATGATACCCTTTTTACTTATTAATAAATGTTATGTTCACAATTTAAAAAAAGTTCTGTGCTTAACCTTAAACACAGACGTGGAGAAGTCTTTCCTTAAAAACTGTATTCACTGCTATACAATCGTGGTAGGAGAAGGAGAGTCGGGTGTGAGAGCGTGTGTGTGTGGGGGGGGGGGGGAGGGGGGGGGGGGGGGGGAGGGGGGAGGAGGGGGGAGGTGACCACCCTCCAGCCATTTAAACATCATTATTAGAACAGGATTATCAATTTGGGATGGCAAACAATGATTTGAATACAAAGTTATTGCTCCTTAGATCAAAATTTAATCTATTGTTTGATAACACTTGATTGATGCATTAAGGCAAATTACAATAGTTTCAACAGTATAATACTAAATATTTTTACGTTGATTCACTTTCGAAGGGTTATGGAATTAACTGTTTTATAACGTTATTCCATAACGGAAATGTTTAAGATGGACAGGGTTGCTAATTGTCTGATAACGCTCATTAGGCTACTCATTCATAGGTTCAGACAGCCTTCACTTTAAAAAATCACATGCCAAGGAATTTTTAGTAAGGTGGCCAATTAAGACAGCGCGTTCTAGCAGGAACAATCAATAGCCGGTTGTATTGACCGTCTTCTTTTGGCTTGGTTGACCCCAAAACGTCTACGTGGGCGAAGGACCAGGGTCGTAAAAAGGGGCAAGCTGAGGTTAGGTAAAATAATGGCCATTTGGGGCCAAATGCCTCAAGGGAGGAGAAGCTCAGACGAAAGTCACTCTCTGTTTAAAGAACTTTTCGATAGGCTTTGTAAGCATTATTTCAATTAGGGCTCTTCGGAACTAGAGTTAATTTTTTTTTAGAAAGAGACGTCTGTTTATCGATAAACTTGTTATTTTTCTCCCTGAAGAAGCCATACGTTTTTTTAGACATTGTGCAAGGACTCTTGTTAAGAAAACATTCTCGACATCTAAAAAAATGACCCATAAAACAAAATGTCTGTGTAGATTTTTTTTTTCTTCATTGAAAAAAATATTTTTGGTACGTATATATGTATACTTAAAATCAATTTTGATATGAGTGGGTGAGGGTTTCGTTTATGTTTATATAGCTTTTAGTAGACACAGGTTGAGTAACAGATCATGAAAGTAGCATCTGGCCAAAGGGTGAAAAGTGAGAACTGTTAATGTCGTTACAACTATACAGAGGTTAGACCCCACCACTGATCATAACTATGCGCAATTAGGAAGACCCCCCCCCCCCCACACACACATTTATCCCTTTGAAAAAAATATATAAAGAAGATAAAATGGTAATTGTTTTTAATGAGTCGATAGAAGTGAATCAGGAAAAGAAGAACAGTTTAAGCTATGTTTTGTAACTGCAGACACGACGGTCTTATCTTAGCAAGCTATTTCTGCCACAAAAAATCTGGTGCAACCCCACTCTCCCGAACAAATCTCTCTCTCTCTCTCTCGCTCTCTCTCTCTCTCTCGCTCTCTCTCTCTCTCTCTCTCTCTCGCTCTCTCTCTCTCTCTCTCTCTTTGTCTGTGTTTCGCTCTCTCTCTATGTTTATTTCTCTTCTCCTCTCTCTCTGTTCATTAGTGTTGAAGCTCGCCTCGTTCTCAAGCATAGGCTACAATTTTTGTTGTGACGCCCAAAGTCTTTGTCCGTTCTATTTAATAACTCCGGTAAATTATGTACCAGTCTACGACAAACCGCTGGCCAACTGTTCTCTCGATGAGTTGTGGGCAATGAAAAGAAAAGAAACACAATCAAATAATGTGTGTTGTGTTGATTAAATATGTCTTTTATGTTGGTGCGATGAGCTTCACTTTTTTCACTGTCCAGATCTCATCGACAAAGCTGTTGGCCAAGGTCGTCTTGTCTTAGCACGGTACAAGGCTTATGAAAAGCGATCTAAAATGCTATGGACTCTAGAGGTACCACAATAACACCCCTATTAAGTATTATATAAACCAGAACGTTCTAAAACGTAGAAGTTTAACACTTGTCTGGAACTTTCCAGTGTAACAATATCTGCCCAATGACAATAATTTAAGATCGTATTAAACTATTGACATTTGTGATACTTGTCTAGAAAACAATCAAAGGTCGCGTGATATATAATTATGTAAACGTTAAATGATCACATTATCTGACTCTGTTTTTTTTTTTTTTCATTACCCGGTTTTGCCACTCATTACAACAGATTCTTTTGACCCTTACGGAGTGCCAGATATGAATCAGACATCAGTTTACCTCTGATTTATCTGCTTATAGTATTATGGTCTCAAAAGCTCTAATACTATTCGGCTTTGTTGGTCTTTCCTCCTCAGCCATCTGTTCTTGGTTTCCCCCTGCTTCTTTTGCCTTCTATTTGGTTCCAGTGAGAACAAGATGTTCAAAGCCATTATGGTTATTCACATGTCCCAGAAAGTGCGTTTGTCTTTTCCTAATTCGCTACTCTAGAATTCAAAGTTCTATTGCTCAGTAGATCTAATTAGTTTCGAGAAATATGATTTCAAGATTTTGAGTTTCACAACATGTCAAGCTTTTCGGAATACAATTCTTTGAATATTTTGATAACGATTCCGAATTATCTTACGATTTTTATAGAGATGATAGATCATTTGGATTCTGACCTCGTGGTTTTAAAATATCTCAAAACGGCCAAAAATGCCATACGGAACTTTGTAATTCTAAGATAGCGAACAGTTGTTATGAATAGCCATCTCAGGCTTCTCTAAACACTACCTCATTTTATTTCCTTTCCTGCCATGAAATTTTCAAGTCTCCTGCGAAAATACATTTTTGTTTCTTTATGTTTATTTCCTCTACCTTTGGTAACTGCCCAGCGTTCACAGTTGCACAGAAGGGTTGACCATACAAGTTTTTTCTAAAGCCCATCATTTGATATCGGAAATAATGTGATATCCTAGAAATTCGAATTCTTGAATCTGTTTCATCCTTTCACCTTTATTTATTTGCTTATGAGGTTTAAGAATACTCCGATCGTTTTAGTCTTTATTTTAGCTTTTGGAATTTGATTAAATAAGTGCCGAGGATGAAAAATGTTAGAAGAGAGTAACAAGTAAAAAAAAAGAGAAAAAAGAAAGAAAGGGGAAGATGACGATAGGTGCTTGGTGGAAAAAGAGAAACAAAATACAGCAGAACGCCTTCCAACCACCAACTTAGGAACGTTGTCAAGACATCTAAAATAATCTTACTTAGATAAAGACAGATCTTAAAAAAACAAAACATGTCAAGTGTAAGCCTTTCTCAGTGAATTCAGGGAGCAGGTTCGTGTGATGATCAAACCGGATGAGGTCATTGTCGGTTGGTAGGTCTGGAGAACAGAGTGTGACGTCACAGCTTGAGACCGTCACGTGTGGCTATCCCATCTACGGAATCTCAGCAGCAGCCTCTAGTTGCCCTAGTTTAAAGTTGGAAACTAACCAGATATTGACTGATGCTCAAGTGTACCTGTGAAGTTATGAAATTCCGATTCTACGACGGCCCATGAAGACCTGGTTCTCACCCTGCTTACCCTTTATCATCAATATAACATTTACTCATTATTCTTTAAAGAACCTTCACGCCAAAGGTGAAAGGAAGCTTAGTGGCTGGTGAGCGGATGTTCTGGCGTGTTTGCCCCTTCTTTTCTATGATAACCTTCTCTCTATCTCTCCTCCTTTTTGTCTTTATACGTAAATCTGTAACAACAGTTCTAATATTCTGGCAACTATATTATAACTCATGTGTGTTGCAAGTGCCATATAACTCTAACTAAAACTAAAGTGATCTTCAGATGTGTCTCTGTAGTTGAGTGCATAATGCTATGCTTAGAGTCCTGACTAGCTTAGTTTAACGGTACATTCCGTGCTTGGCAGGGCAAGTGAAGTTCAGTGGGGGATTACTCAAAACAAGAAGCATGGTCAAAGCACAAACACGCTCAACTGGAGGGAAATTACAACTTACTCTTTTTAATCTTAACGTTTGAGATAGATAAAACCGTATTTAACAATCTACACGAATAATAAAGTTATGCTTTTTTAAAGCCTTGTCAAATAACCAGAATGCGCGGGCTCAATGGGTTCAAATGGGCACTGCCGCTGCTCGTTGGCAAACGTGTCCTGAACATCCATTATTGTTGTGTTTTCGGGCGACATTCTATTCAGCGCTCAGTTTGCAGATCAGACATTCGCGTGCGTATTGATTTTGAGAAAGATTAACCAACACTTTGCTGACGACAGCAGAACATGAATGTAGAAATGTGCATATGTGGAAGGCTGTCTACTGTAATCTAATCTAATTTCGGATAGCTAATCAAAACGTAAAAGCTTTTTATATCAATAAAGTTACAGGATTGTTTGTAGTGCTCTTTTTCCCCCTCAAAATCACTAAGCCCACATTATCTTCTTACAAGATAATGCCAGACTATACATAGGGACCCTCACTTGAAATGCCCTTGTCCAACATCAGCTTGAAGTTCAGTTATTGAGTGGCTGACTCATGTCCGCGGACATGACTCCCATAGAACACGTGTGATGAACTAAGATTAGGAGACACAGGAAGTACAAAAGAGACATACGACGGTCAAAATCATCGAGTATTATTCAACGTCCGCTTTCGTTTTGTCCTATAATGTTATCAAGTTTGGAGTAAAATCCCAGCCGGAGAGTGAAATAGACCTTTACTTAGCAGACAGTGTCACCTGTAGTTGCAAAGACACTTCTTAATTAGTTAGCTATGTTCCTACTTAACATTGTTAGTAGATATCGCACAAGAAGTTACGGATCACACGAATCGTCCTTAGCTTAGCCGTTAAATTAGCGGACTCTTTGTTCCTTTTTTGCTTTAGTAAGAGTTTTAGGACACTTGCAATACAGTATGGTCATATAAGTGCGGCACATCAGAGGTGTTGCAAGGGCGTAACAAACAAGGAGGAGAGATAAGGGCGATAGATGTTTGATA